GCAGGACAACACTAAAAACTTCAGCAGTTTTCCATAATTTCTGGCATTACCTCTGACATTTCGCCCTGTGGTATCTGTTCTAGTTTCTCATAAAATACCCCTGGAAGCCCCTCTGTTGTCTCCTCCCTTTCTGTCATCACCGGGAGGTCCCACAGAGGCGGTGTCCGAGTGTGACAGGGATCAGGCCATTGACCTCATCAGTTTTGCTTTTTTAACTCTTGTCAGAAATTTTGTCTTGGCCTTTGGGTCTCTGGCTGACGCGAGGCCAGAAGAGATGTCCCTGGGAGAGCCATTTGGGCTGGAAGATCCATGGTGCTTAGTTTAATAAGAGCTGTGCTTTTCAAAGACATCTCCTTTCATTTTCTCTTTATGCTTCCCTTATTTTTCAGTGTCCTTTCAGTATTACTTATTCCTTCTCGAGAAGAAGGGCTTCATGTCCCTCTCTCCTCCAGGAACGTGCTTTTCAGCCCATGCTCCATGTACTCAGTAACTCGTGCCGCAGGATGACATAAACAAATGAGGAGGGATGACATAAAAAAATAATCTTTCCTATATTGTTTCCTCCTGTTCTTAAACCTCCTCCAGCCCCAGTTTTAAGGCTCAGGACCCCAGTTTCTCATAAATGCCTTTCAATTTCAGATCCTCTTCCCTCTCCTCTCGCCTGCTGCCCGGGGGGCCCATCAGCCGGGTGCTGTATAAATGAAGGCTGTGTATCACCTTATATTGTATTTTACCAAAGGCTTTTCTCTATCCTAGAAAATTCCTGTCTCTTATGAAATATGCTGCTAGTTTAAGGAGAGAATAATATATTTACTATAACTGTACTCGGTTGAGGAATAATTTTGCTGTAGAGATTAAATTTTTATATCATCTTGAAAAAAACCAACTCTTTGTCAGTCTCCAGGGAATCTGATGTCTGGCCGTTCCAGCAGGAGTGGCTCAGATCTGAGCAGCTCTACATTGTGTCTTTTTTTCCTTGTGTTCCTTCAATATAAGAGCAATACAAAGTTCAGATGTTTTAAGAGATTCTGAAAAAAATATCCTGTTTTCATTTCAAAGGTACTTGTTGGGTGAAAGTGGCTTAAGGATGAGGGAAGGATGAGCACACAACTGTTCAGAGCTCTGATCCACACTGAACATCTAATGGTGATGCAGCCCATTACCTTCTCATGGGCTTGCAAAAGTCACTAGGGAGTGAATTCACTCCAAAGATCAGGCTTTTTTGGTGGGGGATTAGTGGTGTTTATTGCCATAGATAGGCTGGAGCAGGCATCAGGAGAGACTTTTGGCAGTGGTTCAGAACTTATTCTTTGGTGCCTGCCCAGAACCATAAGGCATTTGGTCTGTGTTTGGGAACGGTTCCTACTCTTTACTTTTTATCCCAGTTCTTCAAGGAAATAAACTCATGGGATCATGCTCTTGCTCTTTCTTGCTCATTATGTCTTTGTGTGTAACTCTTGGCCCTTCTGGGCCAATAAAGCAGCCTTCCAGTCCCTAAAGGGGCTCCAGGAAAGCTGGGGAGGGACGCTTGATCAGGGAGGGGAGCCATAGGATGAGGGGGAAGGGTTTGACACTGAAAGAGGAGAGATTGAGCTGAGATGTGGGGAAGAACTTGTTTGGTGTGAGGGTGGTGAGAGCCTGGCCCAGGTTGCCCAGAGAAGCTGTGGCTGCCCCATCCCTGGAGGGGTTCAAGGCCAGGCTGGATGGGGCTTAGAGCAACCTGGTGTGGTGGGAGGTGTCCCTGCCCAGGGCAGGGGGTGGCGCTGGATGATCTTTAAGATCCATTCTGACCCAATCCATTCTATGATTCTATGATTTTAAGCAGGCTTGGCAAAAGGCTGGAGTTTTTCAAAGTGTGAAGATGCTCCAAGCATGTAATTGTAAGAGGCCACTGCAGAAGGCTGTGCTGGAAACCAGCCCTGGACGGTTGTGTATGGGGAGTGACTGGCTTTGGAGGTGATGTCCCCTTTCTGCTTCTGCATCACCAGAGCCCCTTAATCATTCGTTTGTAGCGTTACGCTTGTACTTTGAGACCTAAACAGCGCTTCCATGCAGGCTGTGGAGGGCAAACAGGAGATGGCAGAAGGTGTATGTGGTACCTCCAGAAGCCTGTGGCCTGTAGCTCTGGGCCCCTGATGTGGGCCAGGGCCCTGCTGTGGTGTGAGTGGTGTGAGCAGGAACTGAAATGGGCGATTTAGAGATGAGGTGAGACAATGGGAGGAAGGGGAGCAAAGAGAAGAAGAGACACGATTGCATGTGGGAGTCCTCTCTGGAAGGTGGCTGCTGGGCTCTCTCTCCCTCAGGCTTGGGGAGTGTGTGTGGGATGTCTGTGCACCCAAAGGTGGGTCATGCAGAGCTCAGAGAGCTCCCTGTGGAGAAGGAGCTTTCCCTGGGGTTCTGCCTGCGTGAAGGAACCACACGGCTGTGGATAATTTCTGAAGTTCTAGTGAAACCTTGCAGAAATGTGTCCTTCTTTGTGCAGTGCTAAAATGGGGCTAATAAAAGTGAATGAAGGAACGGATCAGTGGGTTCTGCTGTAATCGTTTGTTTTCAGTCCTGCCTCTCCTGAGGCAGCTTTTCAGGCAGCTGAAAGCAGATTTCTTCCTCTTCTGTTTGGACGTGATTTATCATTCTTGCCAGACGTCCCTTGAATGTTGCTTTGAAGTGCATCATCCCAGTGGCACGGGTGAGCCCTTCCGACAGCCCGAGCTGAGGATGGGATGTGTAACCAGCACCAAGATCCTCCCTGTCACATCTCCCTGGGGAATATTCATCGTCGTTGCTATCCCTGTGGGTGCCTTTGCTGTCCTGGGTGGCAGCGAGAGGGAGGATGATGGTCTCCTGCCAGTGCCCATCCCAACACGTATCAGTCGTTCTCCTTGATTGATTCCCTTGGCTCAATGACACGGATTTCTCTGTACTTAATGCTACGGGGTTTATAGTGGAAGGACCCAGTAGTTCAGATGCAGAAATAAGGGGAAGGTTTCCACTTCTGTTCAGCCCTTACTGACGTGCAGATTCAAAGCACCACCAGCAAAATCACTGGGGAAGTGAGAAATCTGTTAAAACCAATAAAGAAAAGCAAACCCAAGCTTTAAAAGCAAACTGGTGGATCCTGAGGATACCCACAGTAGAAGTACGAGCATGCCAGATACTCTGGAAGGACTTCACGTCTCTGTGTTCCAGTCTTTCTGGCCAAGAACTAGCACTGGTAGGCAGTAAGACAATTTCTGACAGATTTTGCTAGAAACCTTTCATGGGGAAGGTGAAGAAGAAGGAATTAAAATCTAAACTGAATTTCTGTTAGAATGTGTGTGTGCGGAGTGGTAAAACCCTCTGCTGAGGAACTGGGGAAGCCCTTGTGTCTTTTTGGTGTAAGAAAGAGCAGGATATGATCTGGGGTACCCTAAGGAAAGGTGCTCATCTACAGGTGAGCTGCTCCTGAGTGGAAAAGGTCTGATTTTGATAAAGAAATAGACATTTTGAGAAGAATCATCTGTTTTATTTCTCTTGGAGTCTGTGTCTGATATGAAATTGGTATCTCTTCTGTTTGGAAGTGAGCTGAACCGTGTCCCTCTGCCCCTTTGGGGTCAGGAAGTTGATGGAGCAATCTGCTGGCCTTCTGCACGCCCGAAACTACCACCTTTCCCAGCTTTCTTCACTTACTCCTCTGGCTGTGGCTGAGCCTAGAGATGGAAAAAGGCCCCTTGGGTATCTAATCCATCCCCACGTCACAGCCTGCAAATCCTTGCCGTTGATTTGTTATTATTGTCCTCGGATAAAATCTAATCAACCCCAGCGTGGTCAGAGGGACTCCATCAATTCTCAGAAGCTCCCTGGCAGGGAAGCTCTTTAGAGGTTCCTTGTCAGAAGGAATAATAACAATAATAATAATAATTTCTATTTAAGTACTTCAAACTGTGAGTTACATTCATAGGTGATTTTCTTACTGCCTCACAACATTACTTTTTGAGGAAAAAAGTGTTTAAATCTATGTCCTGTAGATGGGGAGTCACAGTGTTTTGTCCAGAGCAGTGGAAATCCATGGTAAGTTTGGGGGCTGGACCACGCTCTTGGATCAGGAATTCCTGTGTGTAACCTCAAGGTTATTGCCCCTTCAGAAGCATCAGTGGGGACGACAGGCTGTTCTGCTCCCAAAGTCAGGGCTCTGCCATTAAAGCAAGGGGGAGCATACTCTGGTGTCTTGATTTAAAAACAACAACAGAAACCAACCAACCAAAAAAAAAAGTAAGAAACAGAACAAGATCATCCATCAATATTTTTTTGGTTTCTGACAAAAAGAAGAGGGTGAGTCTCTGCTAATGAAAAATATTAAAATTCTATGTGTCCTGTGTAATAAATAATAACATGAGCATGAACGTGGCTTCCCACAATCACCACCAAATCATCAATATAGCTCTTTTTTTGCAGCTCGTTTTTAACTTTGCCTATTTCCTTCGGCTATGCAGATATAAATAAATAATTCAGCTTGATAAAGGTCTGGGAATGCTATACTTGAAAAGATAAGAAAGCTTTGAGGGGAAATTGTTTTTAAATCCATAACATTTGTATGCTGTTCACTGTTCATACTGAGCAAAAATTAATTCAGTTGGCAGTTAACCAACCCTATTTTATTCTTATTCTGTGTTCAACCTATCCTTCTCCTGGGGACATCTAACCTTATATGTAATTACCTCTCTGAGAGTGGGAAGGAGGCCTAAATAACCTTCCTAACAACTAAATAAATGCACAGATCCCTGGGACAGGTTATCGGTGGGATGCTGGTGGCGGGGCTATAGGGAGCAGTGTGTCTGAGCCATGAAGGATTTCAAGATTTGGGTAATTTTTGTTCCAGCATTGGGTCAAAGAACTAAAATATGAGATGTTTTCGAAAAACCAAAACAACCCACCCTGGATTTTCAGATTATTTTTGTTACTTTGATAGCTTGGAGATAACAGTGGTGAATTTTAACAGTGATGGTGGTTTTTTTTCTCTCGAGGTCTGTCCAAGTCACTTGGTCTCATTGAAGGCTATGGTGGACGTGGTAAAGGGGGGCTTCCAGCCACCCTGTCCCCTGAGGAGGAGGAGAAGGCGAAGGGACCCCATGAAAAATATGGCTACAACTCCTACCTCAGTGAGAAGATTTCACTGGATCGTTCCATACCAGATTATCGTCCAACCAAGTAAGTTCTATACCAGATTATCGTCCAACCAGTTGCTCCATGGAGGAGTGCATGGGTTTAGGTGTCACCCAGGAGCTGGGAGTGATGGTTGCTTTCATATTCTCATGTGATACTGTTCACTCTTCCCTCTTCATCATTCATGGGGCCATGCTCCGTGATGAGCATCCACTGGAGTTTAGCTGAAACTCAAATAGTTCATAATGATGATTTATCAGGGAAAAGCAGCAAGGTTTTTTCCCTGCTCTTCTTTTTCTTTTCCTGAAGCAATGCATTATTTTGGGTGGTAGTAATGCATTCAGAAGCTCACACCTGCCTTCATCAGCAAAGGGCTGTTCGCTGAGCTTTTTGGAGCTTATTACCTTGCAAATGTATACAAAGACTTTCCCTTTTTCCTCCCTTGTCGGCTCCTTCATGTCCCTGGAAGACTTCGGGGGCTCTCTGGCCCCTCACAGGACTCCTCTTGGGATGTTGCTGGGGTATCTCCTCTTGGAGATGTGTGCAGGCACCTTAGAAGGAACCCAGTGGCTCAGGTGGCAGTATCCTTTCTCTGCTATTCTTCCAGCATGACCTTTTAAGCTGATGGTGATGGTGATGTTTACCTGCTAAGCACCGCAGAAGAATAGACTTTAAATGAGATGCCACATCATTTTGTTAAGAGTGTGAGAAAAGACATGCTGTAAGTTTATCTTTATGAAAGTTAATTTTAGATATGGCTAGCAGAGGGTTCCTCAAAATGGGAATGTGTCAATTTGTCCAGGGCCGAAGAGAAATCCCTGATGAAAAAATGAACTGAGAGAGATTTAGATTCTGAAAGATACGTGTCCGATGCCCGTGTCGTTGGGACAGTGACAAAGCTATTGCTTGGCATCTGCAAACCATTGAAAATCATGCAGCAAAGGGAGGCAGCTCCACATCTCCAGCGAAATGGCAAATTGTTAAGGATGTGAGCACATGGAGAGCTTTTGTTCCATCACTTCTCCGCATTCCATATGAATTTCAAGCAGCCACTCAGAGTTTCCAAGGCTGTCAACCACTGACAACAGACGTGTTTGGATGAGTTTTCAAAGGAACGGAGGCCCAGCCTCCAGTTCTGCTGGCACGGTTCGTCTGGACAAAACGAATTGCAGGAGCAAATTGCACCTTTGGCTGTATGATATGCAAATCCCACCACAATGACAAATCCTTGAAGTGAGACCTTCTCTAGCAGTTACCTGAGTCTGAGCTTCTTATTTTCATTTCTCATCCAGCACTCTGACTTCTAGCGGAGCCAGCGTTACTTTGTGAGAATTAATTTGAGAAGTAATGTTTTTTCAGATCTTGGGGCGGGAAGAAAAGGATTAATTCTGACATTTTTAGGTTTGCATTGTATTCTTCCTCAGTGCCACTATCCATCATTGCATGGGAGGGTGGTGGAGGGGACAGAGCAGACACAGCAGTTTATTAAATACACATCGTTTTGGAGCTGGGCTAATACTTTGAGAGAATTTGTGGGTACTGAGTGCAGCTGCATACCTTAGTGTCTTTTATCTGTGTAATAACTTCAGGAGCGTGTTTTGGTTATTGCTTTTTTTTTTTTTTTTTAGGGCTCAATTGTCTTGGTATTGTGAGAGAGCAGTTGGTCTGGTTATGAAATAGGCTTGAATTTGCTGGAGGATTTGAAAAGTTTCAGCTTTTTCTACTTCTGACTTGAAGATCCATTTGCTATTTTGTGCATGCAGTTTTATGGCTGGTTTTATGAAGGGTTTAATACAAACCATTTAAGTCAAGTATCCTGGTCTCTGATTAAAATAGATTCAAGTCAAAGGAAATGAGCCTAAATGGTTTTGAAACTGCAGCATTAGTGGGGAAAAACCGTTGAAAACCCTCCAGCTGATAAGCATTACAAAGCATGTATTAGTTTTAAATATAATAGTGAAGCCTGTTCAGTTCAACTAGAGGCTGTTCAGCATCTGGGATGCCGATGGACTCGGACTGTTCTAGCAGCAACTGTCACTCATATGTTCTGTCCTTTTAATTTTCTCTTTTTTTAAAGAAAAACATGAATGTGGTCAAGTGTCACTTTCTTGAGTGCTGAGCTATGGATCAGAACTCTTAGTCCTTTTCCTGCCCTCTCTTTGTGACTGCGGCCAAAGTAAAGGGGAGAAAGGGGAGTTTGGGGGAAATTTGGCAAATTTGGGGAAATTGGAAATGTGTTTTATAATCTTTCTGTATTCAGCCTCCCTGCATCTCGTGGTCAGCATCACCAAGGGGTCAGACACAGGTTTCCCTGCTCAGAGTGAGTAGTTAGCAGGCAGGTGTTGGTAATGAGGAGGCATCATGAGTCCCAGCAGATGGTCTTTCTAGTCCTTGCCCAGTGGCAGCAAAGAGAATAGAGGCAAATTTCCCTGGAGAAAAAGGTTTTGGATACAGGATGGGGCTTAGGAGAAGGTAAGGTCTTTCTCTGAGCTGGGAGTGGCAGAGTCATAGAATCATCTGGGGTTGGAAGGAACCTCTGGAGATCATCTAGTCCAACCCCTCCCACCGGAGCAGGTCTACCTAGAGCACGTTGCAGAGTGAACGTGTCCAGGTGGGTTTTGAATGTCTCCAGAGAAGGAGATTCCACCACCTCCCTGGGCAGCCTCTTCCAGTGCTCTACCACTCTCACAGTAAAGAAGTTCCTCCTCATGTTTAGGTGGAACTTCTTATGTTCAAGTTTGTGCCCATTTCCTCTTGTCCTGTCACTGGGCACCACTGAGAAAAGACCAGCCCCGTCCTCCTGACACCCTCCCTTTAAGTATTTGTACGCATTAATTAGATCTCCCCTAAGCCTTCTCTTCTCAAGACTAAAAAGACCCAAGTCCCTCAGCCTCTCCTCATAGGAGAGATGCTCCTCTCCTAATTATAGGAGAGGAGCTGGAGAGGGGACAGCAAAGGGCCACAAAGATGATTAACATGCTCCTATAATTAGGAGAGGAGCATCTTAATCATCTTTGTGGCCCTTTGCTGTCCCCTCTCCAGCAGTTCCCTGTCCTTCTTGAACTGGGGAGCCTGGAACTGGACCCAGTGCTCCAGATGGGGCCTCCCCAGGGCAGAGTAGAGGGGCAGGATGACCTCCTTCGACCTGCTGCCCACACTCTTGATGCACCCCAGGATGCCATTTGCCTTCTGGGCCACAAGGGCACATTGCTGGCTCATGGTCAGGCTGTTGTCCACAAGAACTCCCAGGTCTTTTTCCTCAGAGGTGCCCTCCAGCAGCTCAGCCCCCAACCTGTACTGGTGCAGGGGGTTATTTCTCCCCAGGTGCAGCACCCTACACTTGCCCTTGTTAAATTTCATTAGGTTTCTCTTGGTCCAACTCTCCAGCCTGTCCAGGTCTCATTGTATGGCCACACAGCCTTCTGGGGTTTCAGCCACCCCTCCTAGTTTTGTGTCATCAGCAAATGTGCTGAGGGTACATTCCGTCCCTTCATCCAGGTCACTGATTAATATATTGAAGAGGACTGGACCCAGTACTGACCCCTGGGGAACACCACTTGTTACAGACTTCCAGCTGGATTCTGTGCCCCTAATCACAACCCTCTGAGCTCTGTCTTTCAGCCAGTTTTCAATCCACATAACTGTCCATTCATCTAACCCACACTTCCTAAGCTTAGCTACAAGGATGCTGTGGGAGACAGTGTCAAAAGCCTTGCTGAAGTCAAGGTAGACAACATCCACCGCCGTCTTCTCATCTATCCAACCAGTCATGACATCATAGAAAGCTATCAGGTTAGTCTGACATGACTTCCCCTTGGTAAATCCATGTTGACTACTTCTGATAGCTTTCTTTTCCTCCGTATGCTCTGAGATGACACTCAGGATGAGGTGTTCCATCACCTTTCCAGGGATGGAGGTGAGACTGACCAGTCTGTAATTTCACGGGTCCTCCTTCTTGCCCTTTTTGAAGACAGGGATGACATTGGCCTTTCTCCAGTCCTTGGGCACCTTGCCTGTTCTCCAGGACCTCTCAAAGATGATGGAGAGTGGCCCTGCAATGACTTCTGCCAGCTCCCTCAGCACTCTCGGGTGTATCCCATCCGGACCCATGGACTTGTGGATGTCCAGCCTTCTTAACTGATCTCTAACTTGGTCCTCCTCCACCAAGGGAAGATCTTCCTTAGTCCAGACTTTCTCTGATTCATCCAAAGTCCATGGCTCCTAGGAGTTGGCCTGAGCAGTAAAGACTGAGCAAAGAAGGCATTCAGCAACTCAGCCTTCTCTGCATCCTCTGTTACCATGGCACCCGACTCATTTAACAGCAGCCCCACATTTTCTTTAGTTTTCTTTTTGCCTCCAATATAACTGAGGAACCCCTTCTTGTTGTCTTTGACATCTCTTGCCAATTTTAATTCTAAGGAGGCCTTGATGTATCCCACCCAGACCCATGGACTTGTGGATGTCCAGCCTTCTTAACTGATCTCTAACTTGGTCCTCCTCCACCAAGGGAAGATCTTCCTTAGTCCAGACTTTCTCTGATTCATCCAAAGTCCATGGCTCCTAGGAGTTGGCCTGAGCAGTAAAGACTGAGCAAAGAAGGCATTCAGCAACTCAGCCTTCTCTGCATCCTCTGTTACCATGGCACCCGACTCATTTAACAGCAGCCCCACATTTTCTTTAGTTTTCTTTTTGCCTCCAATATAACTGAGGAACCCCTTCTTGTTGTCTTTGACATCTCTTGCCAATTTTAATTCTAAGGAGGCCTTGGCTTTCCTTGTTTCTTCCCTACATAGTGTAACAGCATCTCTGTAATCCTCCCAAGTGGTCAGTCCCTTCTTCCACTCAGTGTAAACCTCCTTCTTCCACTTTAGTTTTTTCAGAAGGTCCCTGCTCAACCACCCAGGTCTCCTGCTTCCCTTGCTTGATTTCTTGCTCTTGGGAATGCACTGGTCCTGAGCTTGGAGAAGGCAATGTTTGAATATTGCCCAGCTCTCTTCAGCCCCCTTGCCTTTCAGGGCCCTAGCCCATGGGATTTCACCTAGCAG